GGGCGGCGCCTACTGGGTGGACTCGCAGCAGAAGCGGGTAGGGGCGCGGGGGGAGCGGGCGTGTGCCGGGAGGGACCCCGTCTGGGCCGCGCTGGCCCGGCCGCGCTGACCGCCGCCCCCCCGCTTTTGCAGTACGTTCCGGTGAAGGGCGACCACGTCATAGGAATAGTGACGGCCAAGGCGGGAGACGTGTTTAAGCTGGACGTCGGTGGGAGCGAGCAGGCGTCGCTGTCCTACTTGGCCTTCGAAGGCGCCACGAAGAGGAACAGGCCGAATGTGCAGGTTGGTGCTCTTGTTCCTCGGCGGTGACGTTTGGTGGCGCTCCTGTTACGTTTTAGCAGTCTTGCCTAGTAAAAGTATTTTTTTATACCGCAGGTAAGAGGAGGGGTGCACGTTCGTCTGCAGTGATTTTTGCCGTGGCCCTCCTCGGAGGTTTCTGCGTGACTAGGCTGTGGGCTTTCTGAGGTGTAACGTGTAAGAGAACGTGTAACTAGTGTGGCTCGAGATCTATCAGGTGGCAGGCTTTTGCACTCCGTACATTTTAATTTTTGCCAGCCGTAGGTGTGATTCATGAGTAACATGCATCCAAGGGGGCACTCTGAATTTAAGGCTCTAGAACGAGCTTTTAAAACACCATCTGTTACTGGTGGAGAACAGTTCTTTAAGAACACTCTTACAACAGTTGCATGGCATATGCGTGCCACAGTTTTCTGCATTCAACTGAAATACCATCACCAGAACGTAGAAGTGGGCTGTAAAGAAAAACGAAGTATGTTAGTGTGGGGTTTGTTGTTGTTGTCCTCAAATGATTACAAGAGCAGGTTGCTTAGATTTTTTTTTTTTAATACTCTTAAAGTCTAAAGACAGAAATTCATGTTTGGTATTTAAAAAAGAAAAGAGGAATACTCTGTGAAATAAAATTCTGTACTTTTTAAAAATATCTGTCAAATTCCAGTAGCGATACAAGATAATTGTTCCCAGAGGCTGTTGCCTTTAGTAGAAGAGAAGATGAAAATTCTTATTATACCAGTTTATTTTTCTACCACCAATATTTTAAAACTATTTTGTGGCCTCATGAGAGCATCTTTATCAACTGAGTATTTCTTACAAATGTGCAGTATGATCTTCTCTACTACTTCTGCTCTTTGACACTATTTTGTCTAGGTGGGAGATCTTATTTATGGTCAGTTCCTTGTAGCAAATAAAGACATGGAACCAGAGATGGTCTGTATAGACAGCAGTGGAAGATCAAGTGGAATGGGAATAATTGGACAAGATGGCTTCCTCTTTAAAGTTTCCTTAGGTCTAATAAGAAAGTAAGTACTAAGAAAAGTAAGTAGTCGCTCTAACGTGCAATATGGTGGGTAGGAGTCGCACAACTATGTCATCTGAGCAGTGTGGGCAATTTGGTAATCAGAGTGTGTAATTGTTTTAGTGCCTTTATACCAGTTCTACTGAATAGAGTATGGATATTGACCTAGAAGGAGTGTTTATTTTCCCCCTTAATAGATTTAGATGCTTTTCTTTATGGTGTTGTGTGACCTGTTTTTAAAAAAAAAAAAAGTGATGTGGTTGCCAAGGCAGCATGGAGAATACAACTAGTGACCTGGGGAAATCAAACATTCAAGCTAGGGTTTCAGGTATGTACCTAGTACCTTGGAGTTTAAAAATGGGAAATGCTTACTGTCGTTTTTCTGCTTAATGTGATAGTGAGGGATGTACATTTGACTGACAGCTGATTAAAGGGCTCTTTCCACATGAATACACATTTTCTTACTTCCAAAGCAAAATTTGTGGGATTTCATTTAAAACTGACATGTTAATCCAGGAATCGTTTCATAAGCTTTTAAATGAATTGTGAACTTTGGAGTTACTTGTGCTGATGTAAAGATGAGATTTTTATGACTATCAAAGAATATCAGATTAAATGAATAAATGATAGTCAAACTTTGTTGTTGCTTTTGGGTGGGGTTTTTTCTTTGGTTTTGTTCTTTGGAAAAGCAATCTGGAGATGCAGAGCAGCTATTTCATACCTGTTTTTTTAAGTAATCATTTGTCTGGTTTACATGTCCCATCAGAAGTCAGGGTGAACTGATACAAATATTTTTGCAGCCATTCTGTTTGTTTTCCAAATCTTGTCTGTATGTAAGTAGAGAAATAACAGTATATTACAAGCAAACTGCTAAATCCTGATATGTTTGTCTCCTTTGAGAAGCATGTTGAAGCTTGATTTAATCCTAGATGTATTACAATGTTCTTGACATTTCTATTTTTCAGTATGCTGTCACCTAATAAAAACAAAATACTCTGTTTACTGCTGTTAATATTGTTTCCTGAAGGAGAAGGGAAGTTGTGTTTTGAAAGACACATCTTTAACTCTGGTGTCAAATTTATAAGTAGCAGCACTTTAAAATGTCACTTTGTCAAACAGTGTAGTTTTAGAATTTATTAAACCATAGAATTGTTCTAAAAGTATCAATTCACTTTAAATTTGTCAGGTGTTACTTCTGAATCTAATTAGAAAAAAAACCTACTAAATTCACAAGTGCTGTATTTTTTTAGGTGCATTTATTTCATATGAGAGGAGAATTAAAAATCTGATACTGTATTGCTAATAGGTCCCATAAGACCAGTACTGCGGTTTAGTTACTGAGTGATAATAATGCGGTGTCTATCAAATGTGAGCACTTACTACTTCCTCTGACTTTTTTTAATCTTGTTTACAGACTCTTGGCTCCCAAATGTGAAATAATTCAGGAGTTGTCACAATTGTACCCGTTTGAGCTGGTGCTGGGAATGAATGGAAGAATATGGGTAAAAGCAAAAACAGTTCAACAGACTTTAATTATAGTAAATATTTTGGAAGCCTGTGAGTATATGACTGCAGAACAGAGAAAACAAGCTCTTGCCAAATTGTCAGGGAATTGATAAAAGAAAACATTGAGGATTTGCTTGAGATGACTGTAGGGTGTTTTGGTTATTTTTGTATTCAGATTCATATTAAAAGCCATTTTTAAATGAAGTACTAGACTTCCGTTGTTCTTCAGTTCCCTTCTTTATCCACTCATCTTGTTCTTGTCTTGTTTAGGAACTTTGTTTTTACTCTTACGATTATGAAACCCTGTTTATGCTTATGAATTTTCTAACTGATGTGGAGACAGTCTTTAAAATCTTCCATTAGCTGTGAGTTTTGAGGTGTAACTAAAGTCTTCTGTAAGAACTGGTCAATTTGTAAACTGCATATATTTGCTTTTTTAGTCATTATTAATATTAAAACTTCAAACAATATGTGTTTACTTGGGGTAGCAGAAAGTATCCTGCAGGTCATTCATTCTGGTCAGGTGCTCTATACAGTGACAAAAAGTGATTATTTAATATTTTACAAAATTTTGGCTTAGAAATGCAGGTGGAGAATACCAGAAGATAATTACCACAGGGCGTAGCCTAGGGTGCTTAAGGCAGATGATCAGGTAAGACCCAACATATGCTTATAGTGATGTTGCCACTTTCCCTAAAAGACTACCTGGCTAGTCGTATTAAGGAAATAGCATGAACATTCCGGTAGCTTGATGGCTCACTGGAGGTAAAGAATATAGTTGACAGTAATGCTATTTGAAGTCACTTGCAACTTTTCCGAAGTGCTTTTTAACTAGAGATTAGGTAAAGACCACTGCAGCAATAGCCATGTATTTCTCACTTCTAGACATTTTAGATTTATTTTCTTTAGCTACAGCATGAAGATTCCATATAGCTTTGCTTCATGTTTAACAAAATCAGCATTTCTGAAAAAAGCTGTATTAGGCTTCATTGTGTAGTAGTTCCTCACATGCATATAGAGGAATTGCTGTCCTAAGAAGGATAAGCTGTCAGTCCATTTTAGTATGTGAATAGTTTGCTGCTGTTCTTTTGAAAGAGAACCTTGGAGTAATGGAAGGGAAATTACTGATGCCTGCTTCCTGTGGGAGAAGAATTTGACTGTATGTACCCATTGAACTGCACTGGAGCTGTTTAAGCAGTTATTTAGATCTGTGATGGTTTTGGTTCTTAATAAGCTGAATAGTTTGATAGCAATAGTTAAATGAAATTTGAAAAAAATGGACTAATTAGAGTAAGCTTGAATACTGTCTACAAAATTCTTCCTATTCTGTATTTCATCCAAAGTTCAGCCTGTAGTATTTGATGATGCGGTTTTCTTTGGCATCTCTCTAATTCAGAAATTGCTTCAATTCAGAGCATTCCTCTGAGTCATCTTTAATATGCTTACCTAGGGCTTCCCCGGATTCAATAAAAACATAACTCTAATGGTTTCCATGTGAGCCTAATGGCTACAATCCAGAATTCTTTCTGGGTTTCACTGGCCTCTGTATTTAGTGTTTAGGATATTGCTTATCTGGCTTGGTGGATCTTTAGTCATCTTTTTTTTCACCTGTCTTCTCCCAGCTGAAGTAACTTTCATTCACATCCCATAAATCTTTTAGGCCTATAACGTTTCTCTTACTACACCTGAAAAGCTGTAACTTAATAAGGATTTCACTAGTGCTGCTCTTCTCCAGTGTTTTTTCAACTTCAGTTAACTAGAGGCCCTGCAGGTTGTCTTTTGTTAGAACAATAGCTGGCATAAGCAGAAAAGCACTTGCCAAATCATCTCAGGGTGCTAGCTTCGTTTTCTGTGAATGTTCTTGGATCATAATAGTAAAACCACAGGAATGGGGAATGACATGGATCATTTCCTGAAGAGTTGTGGCTTGAAATGCAATTAGCCTTACCACTCCCCCTTTTACTTGTCTAAGCAGCCTCCCTTCCCTCCCTAAAGTCTTGAGTTTTAAGCCTCACCTGCAAGATATGTGAACAATCCCTGATTTAAAAATGCTGTTTTGGTAGTGCAGCATAGCAAATGGTGAAAGTTTTCAACATCATCAGTGCCCCATTTCACACCACCCATTATTCTGTCCTATTGTCAACTGATTATCACCCAGGTAGAACCTTGATTAAATCAAGAGCAGGGAACAAAATGCATTAAAGCTACGCCTGTGTTTAATACACAATCATTTTAAGTATGTACTACACTTAAGTTTGACACCTTATGCAGTGGCAAAAATGACAGTGGATGTGAGTAAAACAGGTGTGTGGAAAAATGCTTGAAAGCAAATACATTTAAACACAGTACTAAAAGAAGGCAGTATTGGTGTTTTGGTTTCTTTTTAACTGGAGAAAAGAAAACTCTCTACGTTCCTTAACCAATTACTAGCTTTGACAAGCTTTATCTAATGAACAAAATGTTCAGGCAAAATCTATATGATGTCCTTGTGAACTTTTAGTTCTGGCTCAGTGACTAAACCAGTATTATCAAAAAGAGCGACATAGAATATAACTTAGTTCTAGGAAGAAAGACCGATCATGAGTGAATGAAGTCCTTCACATTCCCATTAGAAGCACATAAACACATTTCAGGAAATGGAACTTGCAGAAGTGATGCTGTGGACTTGAAATGTACCTTGATTAGTAGAATGTCTTTCTGTTGCATTTGTGTGATGTTTGCCCTTGTCAGTGTAAGTCATTATTTAGTCATTCATTTCAGATACTCAGTAATTTTGCATTGGGTTGCTTTGTTACATTGCTTTTCATTCAAGTTGTGATGAAAGTTAAAAAGTAAAGATTGTAGATGTCAACACGGACACAGTCCTTATCCCCAGAGATGAGCATGACCCCTTAAAAAGAAAGTTTACAAAGAATTAAATGGAAACCGTACATTGAAAATATGAAATATGTAGTTTGTGGCCCTTCCTAGGTTGATGTGTTGTATAAAGACCAAGAATAAATGCCAACAAAGTACAGATATGCAGTGTTGAAATTGTGTGATAGTAAAACATTAGTATTTTGCTCTAGCAGAAGAAAGTTGCACAGACGAATAGTTCAATGTAATAAGAGGATTAAGAGCTTAACTGTAAGGTTATGGTTAGAGCGTGGCTGTAACTCTGCTAGATTAGAAGTTTACTGTGCCCAACTACTTATTACCACCTTACCACTGGAAGTTGCAACTGAGGTTTGCTGGCATGTGTATTTGATTCCTAGCCAGGTTCTGTCAAAATGACCCACATTGGCATCAACACTTTTAATAGCAGGGTTATTTTGTTTTTCTAACCCAAATGTTCTTCTAGCAGAAGAGGTCATGGAATTTTTCTCTTGGATTTTAAATATTAAGAGCAGCTCATCTACTGGAGAAGCTCAAATTTGTTAGAGAAAGCCCAGTTTTCTTAATGCTTGAGCAAATGATTCTGAGTAACAGCTAAATCAACCAGTAAATCAACATGTTATTTTAAACCTTACAAATTGGTCGTCTCCAAGCTTTACATACTTACATAAAAAAATATTTACACTGTTTTTTCTAGCGACATACAATCAACTTGGTGAGATATGTTGAGTATAGAAAGTAGCTGTCTTAAGGACAATGTAGGACACTTTAGTTGTATTAGTAACACAAGCAGCCTTGTGCTTACTAATGACTTGTATAGATTGCAAGATGCATAACTACTATTGAAGCCTATAGTAAGGAATTAAACATGTAAATTTTGTCCCAACAACTTGAAAGAGAAACAGAAACACTAGAAAAGTGTTGGCTGCCTGGATTTTAATAGAAACTATGTAGTAGCTGTGGGTGGTTAACCAGGACTGCTGCAGAATGACTTTTCCTCTGATGTCCTGATCTTGCAGAGGTGCAGTTACTGCCTTTTTGGTGCTGTCAATATGGGTATTTTGGGATGTTCAAGAGCCTGTTTCTGCTTATAGAGCCTGAAGCTTGACCACTATTCTAGTGGCTTCAATAGTAATTAAAAATAACTCTTTACTAGGCCTCAGTGTCCAACCTAGTATAAGAAAAGCTAAAAAACTGGAATAAAATAGCAGGATAGGTAGCACTGCAGTAAATGGGACAAATAAAAAAACTATAGGCCACCGAGAGATTCAATTTTGCTTTAATTACGCTTACCTGACCTAAAGATATTAAAGACTGACAGACAGAAGGACTAATGACCTCATCCGCTGTTTCCGAAGGCCTTGGTTATCTGTTGTATTGTAAATGGTAGGCTTTTCTGTGATTCAGTGTTTATTAGGCTATTGCCAAAAGACATTTGTGTAAGCATCTGTATACCCGTTAAAAAGACTTGCTAATTCTTTCTTCCTGTTCTTGTCCAGATGGAGGGTGTTGCACCAATCTCTTCTTGGTGTTCCACTGTGAACTACTCATGTGGGTGAAACTGATTTCAAAAGGCCTGTAGGTCCTTTGGTTTATTTCGTGACTACTGCACCCTGATCTTACTTTTAAGATAAATCTTAAGATCCTGTGTCCAGGCTGGCTGTAGACAGAATAGTGCTTTTATTTCCTGAGACTCAGGATGAGGTTGCAAGCACCACCACCTGAGTACATATCCCTGTACAGTCTCCAAACAATACATGGCTTTTGCCTGGTCTAGTTGAAACCTATGTCAGTCTGCATCTGGGTGCATATGCCTTTAGAAGCACATGGGTGAAAAGTTCAAGCTGTATTTTTGTGTATCTGCATCTACTCTTATTGGCTCAGTATCGAAAATCTTAATTAGTCTGGAAATCCTTCTACGGACATAGTGTCTAGATCTTGCCTTAGCCCACCGTGGTCTGTTTCCTTGTTGCTTTTGAGATCTCCTGTTTCCTGATATATTAGACAAACTGACTTTTCTAAGCCATTTGTCTAACAACGCCCTTGGTCTAAAGCTGATCTACAGAAGCATGATCCAACAAGAAATAGAAATAATTAACTTCTGAAATAACACACAGCTTTGTCATTCTGTATGTGAATTGAAAGTTTCGTAATGCTAAATCATGTTTTAGCATAGATACTGATACAGTGCATGCTGGGTGACTTATGCACAGGCATGCTAGGGAAATTTAATTAACTGATATACAAACAGTTTGCAGACTGATACTCTTCATTCAGTTTAACCGCTATAAAAGTGAATTATGAAAGCAGGAAGAGAAGGGCTCAATG